AAAAAAAAAAAAAAAAAAAAAAAAAAAAAAAAAAAAAAAAAAAAAAAAAAAAAAATATATATATATATATATATATATATATATATATATGTGTGTATATGGCTAATTCTATTTACTTAACAGAGTTATTGTAAATATTAAATGAGCAAATGCTAACATTTAGAATAGCTGATGGCATCTTATAAAACACTTGGTGTAAATGTTCTTCCTTAAAGAATAACCATTAAAAAATATAATACTGGCCAGGCATGATGGTTCATGCCTGTAATCCTAGCACTTTGGGAGGCTGAGGTGGGCAGATCAGTTGAGGTCAGGAGTTGAGGCCAACCTGGCTAACATGGTGAAATCCCATCTCTACTAAAAATAAAAAAATTAGCTGACTGTGGTAGTGGGCACCTGTAATCTCCGCTACTCGGGAGGCTGAGGCAGATCAATTGCTAGAACCCAGGAAGTTGAGGTTGCAGTGAGCCAAGATTGTACCATTGTACTCCAGGACAAAAGTGAAACTCCATCTCAAAAAATAAATAAATATAAATATAATACTATCCTTAGCATGCAGGCTGTATACAAATAAATGTTAGGCTGGATTTGACCTGTGAGCCATAGTTTGTCAACCCTAATCTAGAGTTGAATAATGTTTTATCTTTCTGTGGTTGAATAACATTGTTTTATATGCTTTGTTCTGAATTTTCAGAAGCATGTGCAGTGCACATGTGTTTTGTTTTTAAGGTGAATGGCTGGAGAAGGGAGGGGGCAGATAGGAATGGCACTTAGTCTGACAGAGATCCTGAGGAGAGGCCCCTGCCCCTTGGTCACTGGTGTTCTGTGTCAGGTAACCTGACTATCTGTTGTCTTCTTCCCTTGTACAGTTCCCCTGTTTCCCTGCTTTCTTTCTCTGTGTTTTAGACCTGCAAAGCAAAGAATGCAAGCATTTGGTTTGCTTTGCCAGCTCCTTAGGGACACTTAGTATATATATATCTCCTTCTTTTACCTCTGAAAATATCAATTGTAGGCTGGGCGCGGTTGCTCACCCCTGTAATCCCAGCACTTTGGGAGGCTGAGGTGGGTGGATCACAAGGTCAAGAGATCGAGACCATCCTGGCCGACATAGGGAAACCCCATCTGTACTAAAAATACAAAAATTAGTTGGTCGTGGTGGCGCATGCCTGTAGTCCCAGCTACTCGGGAGGCTGAGGCAGGAGAATCGCTTAAACCTGGGAGACAGAGGTTGCAGTGAGCCGAGATCACACCGCTCCACTCTAGCCTGGCAACAGAGCGAGACTCCATCTCAAAAAAAAAAAAAGAAAAAAGAAAATATCAATTGTTGCCTCCTTCCCTCATGTCACCCAGATCCTGAAAGGCATCTTGGAGGGTGCTTCCCACATCCTGCCTGCATTCCGGGTCCTGAGCAGTCTTCTCTCCAGCTGCAGTGACTCTGCTGCCTTGTATTCTTTCTGCCGGGAGGCAGGGATGCCTGGGCTGCTGCTGAGTCTACTTAGGTACAGCCAGGAGAGCAACAGCCTCCAGCAGGTAAGCACCAGGCCAAGAGCCTCCAAAGACTCATGGAGGTTCTTTTTCTTGGATTTCTCTCCTGTAGATTGCCATCCCTCTTTGAGCTGACTGCCTTTTATTTTCTTTCCTCCTCTTTCTGGTTAGTATACCATTAATTACAAACTCAATGCCTTTTGGGGCTAGCAGATAATGTCAGCCATAAAGTAGGCTCTGCGTATGACTATATGAGTAGTGGGGGAATATGATGAACTGGAGATCACATGCCTACTCTAAAGGAGTAGAGGAATCCTTTCCTCAGCTCCAGCCCATTGTTGCCACAGGGAAATATGGGCCTGGTGTGCCAGATCTCCTAGTTTTCCAAGAAAAAGAAGAAACCCGAATTTTTCTGTGTAATTTTTAAGTATTTAGAGCACTATGCTTTGAAATGTTAGATCCTAGACTTCATTGACCTGATCTTACAGAGCAGAGTACAAAAATTCAGGGATAACTCATACACAGTCACTGATTTGTAAATGGTCACAGAGATAACAAGTCGAAGGGCTGGGATTGAGACTCAGTGTGTTTGGGGCCAAACCTCCACTTCCCCCTACTGTGTCCTACTGCAGCTGGGCTGAGAGGTTGGGGACCTTTCAGAGTCAGTGTCGATGCTTAATAGGGCCTCAGCTGGACCCTGTTGGTGAATGTTAATCTTGGATGATTTTAAGGAATTTAGAGAAAAAGACTTTTGAAAAATAGAACCTCCTATACTTCAAAATGCTATTCAGGCCAAACAAGACATATTTAATCCAGGCTGTTTATAGGCCATTGACTGATTCTTTGTTACCTCTAGATCTTCTCTCTCTGCCTATATTTCTCTTCTGTCCCCTTCTATTTGATCAACTTACACCCTTTTACTTTTTTTTCTATTCTTTATTTCCATCCTCCATGTTGCCGTTACTCTCGTCTCTTTTCCTGGGCAGCAATGTTGGTATGGGACCTTCTTACGGGACCTGATGGCTGTGATTCAGGCCTACTTTGCCTGCACCTTCAATCTGGAGAGGAGCCAGACGGGTGACAGGTAGGATAAGAGTAGAATAAGAGGCGCTTTTGCACTGCTGGCAAGTTTGGCTTCTGTTTCTACCTCATGCATCCCTCCCCTTTAGGAATAGGCCAATTTTGAAGAAGCTGTGATTTGTTCCAGGTTTAGGAATCAGCTCAGGGGCCCCCATACTCCTTTTAAGGACCCCAAGACAGTTCTGACTTGGCCTCAAGATTTACAGGTTCTAAGAGTCAGCAAGTCACCATGGTCCTAAAATGGAAAGGTCAAGATGTGAATAACTTATTCCAGGAAGCCAAGTGGGTTAAAGAAAGAAAGAAAAATGGCAAAGAAGGGGCTTGGAGGCTGTGTGTGTGTGTGTGTGTGTGTGTGTGTGTGTAGCAAGGGAGGAACATTCTGATGTGTGTGTGTGTGTGTGTGTGTGTGTGTGTGTGTAGCAAGGGAGGAACATTCTGATATGTCTGTGTGTGTAGCNGTGTGTGTGTGTGTGTGTGTGTGTGTGTGTGTAGCAAGGGAGGAACATTCTGATATGTCTGTGTGTGTAGCAAGGGAGGAACATTCTGATATGTCTGTGTGTATAGCAAGGGAGGAACATTCTGTTGTGTCTGTGTGTGTGTGTATATGTGTGTGTGTGTGTGTGTAGCAAGGGAGGAACATTCTGGTTTGTGTGTGTGTGTGTGTGTGTGTGTGTGTGTAGCAAGGGAGGAACATTCTGGGGTGTGTGTGTGTGTGTAGCAAGCGAGGAACATTCTGATGTTTCCCTTTGCAGAGATTCTCCTACCTGCCCAGAACTGACCCATTTACCACATCCAGACTTTTAGTAGAGAGATAGGACATATGGGCTCATTTTCTACCCCCAGCCTACAGGTGTTTCAGGAGGCTGCCAACCTCTTTCTGGACCTGTTGGGGAAACTGCTGGCCCAACCAGATGACTCTGAGCAGACTTTGCGGAGGGACAGCCTGATGGTAATCTGCTCCCACTTCCAGATTTCTGTGCCTCCTATCTTTTCCCGTGTTTCTCCCGTCCCCTTTCTTATGACTATATAGGGTCAGATCAAGTTAATACAACAAACATTTGTTGAATTCCTACCATGTCATATGCCATGTGAGTAAGACAAAGTGCCTGCCTTCAAGGGACTTGGGATAGTTTAATAGGGGAGAGGTAAAGTGATCAAGGATGACAGTGAAAAGTGCATTAGGATTTTGCACATAATACAAGAGCAGCACTGTATTTTATGAAGAAGATGCAGTTAACACTATTTGGAGCATCAAAGAAGAAATCTCGAAGAAGGAAATTATCTCTGCTAGGATTTGAAGAATACATTGCAGTTTGCCATGTAAATGAGGCAAGAAAGTAGGAATTCCACACAGAAAGAATATATGAAGGCTGAGTGACTTTCAGCAGTTTGGCATATTTCAGGGGACCACAAATAGAAATACTTCCTGCAGAGACCCACAGATCATCTAGTATTGTCCAACCTTGTTTGTCCTGAGGATTAGTAAACTATGCAGTTCTTTTCCCTAGATCCTGGAGGTAAGGGACAGGAGAATGGAGGATTGAATGAGAAAATAGCTGAGTTCTGACTAATCTCAGAGGAGACAGGAGCATATATGTGTAAGGAAGTTAACAATTTCCTGATCATTGTTGAAACTGGCAATTGGGAACAGATCTGGACTACCTTCCTGCCTTTAGCATTCATTCAGACTTTCCTGGTCTAACGTCCTTTTTTAATATCCCTCACCCTTTCAAGTCAGAAAGCTTTTACTGTCTAACCTAAATTTTGGCCAGCAGTGATTCATGTTATTGGCCAGCACTTCTCTTGTCATGTGCCATGAGTAGAATGGGGAGTTTGGAATAATTACTTCCTGAAATTCTGAATCAGTAGGACTGAGTTGGGAGGGACCCAGCAATCCCAAGGATTTTTTTTTTTTTTTTAAGACAGGGTTTCACTATGTTGGCCAGGCTGGTCTTGAACTCCTTACCTCAGGTGATATGCCCACCTTGGCCTCCCAAAGTGCTGAGCTTACAGGTGTGAGCCACCACACCTGGCCACAAGGATTTTTTTTTCTTTCCTTTTTTTTTTTTTGAGACAGAGTCTCTCTCTGTCACCCAGGCTAGAGTGCAGTGGCATGATCTTGACTTTGACTCACTGGAGTCTCCACCCTCTGGGCCCAAGCAATCCTACCTGCTCAGCCTCCCAAGTAGCTGAAACTACAGGTGCACACCACCATGCCTGGCTCTTTTTTTTTTTTTTTTTTTTTTTTTTAGTAGAGACAGGGTTTTGCCATGTTGCCCAGGTTGGTCTTGAACTTCTGAGCCCAAGCAATCCACCTGCCTCAGCCTCCCAACCCCCTGTTGGGATTACAGGCATGAGCCACTGCGCCTGACCCCTAGGAATTCTTATGTTCATGGTCTATAATAAAAAACACTTTGAGAAACATCATCTAGGGAGCAGCTGATCAGAGAATGGAAGGATTGACACCTAAAATGTTGTCCTTGAAGCATGAATGAAGGCAGTTATAATGCATTTTTGGTGTGAAGAATGCTTAGAGTTAGACAGCTGTTTGCTTCGGTTTTTGTCCTCTTTCCTCAGGTCCTCAGGGTTTCTTGGTTTTTACACTAAGCCCAGTCTTCTAATGTCCTGATGCTACCTCTGCCCTTGTCTCCTTTAGTGCTTTACTGTCCTGTGTGAAGCCATGGATGGGAACAGCCAGGCCATCTCCAAAGCCTTTTACTCCAGCTTGCTGACTACGCAGCAGGTTGTCTTGGATGGGCTCCTTCATGGCTTGACAGTTCTACAACTCCCTGTCCACACTCCCCCAGGTAACCAGAGTGGGGAAGGGGGGCTTCTCTGGACTTATTTGTTGCATAGGTCAGGCTCTGCTCTTTCTACTGCCATCACCTAGATAGCACCTGGCATTTAGTAGGCGCTCAATAAGTAACTGTGAACTGAGAGGATGAATGGGGATCTGAGGTAAACAACCAGACCTCATCCTGCATTCTTCCAACCCCCTTAGGCCCCCTACTCCTGCTGCCATGTCAGTGAGTACTGGTGCTATTTTCTAGGGCAAGAGCCCCAGGACGTGGAGTCACTTTTTGCCTTCTCCATAGGAGCCCCACAAGTGAGTCGGCCACTGCGAGAGCAAAGTGAGGATCTACCAGGAGCCACTGCGTCCGCCCTGGCAGCCATATGCACTGCTCCTGTGGGACTGCCTGACTGCTGGGATGCCAAGGAGCAGGTCTGAGCTACAATTGCTTGTTCCTCTCACCTCTACTGCCAGAGGAGTTAGGGAGGTTGGCCCCAGTTTTTCAGAAAGGCAGAAAAACAAGCTTTTAAGCCACTCCTTTAGTACTTCCAGAAACAGATGCTCCCACCCTGGGTCACTTGTAGAACACGATATAGCCAGAATCCCAGAGCCCGTGGCCAGTTGGTGTGGGAGAGAGCACAGTGATAAACTGCCCAGGTGGTGGGGCAGCTGATCTGAAGCCTCCAGTGATGCTTCCTCAAGGCCTCAGGATTCAGCTTTCTTGCCCTCTGTTGGCCAGAAATCCTTTCTGCTGTACCTGCCTCCCCTGGGGGCAAACTAGGCCATGACTTTTGGCTCTCTATTGGTGATGAAGACTGGGAATAGAATGGGGTGTGAGGTTTCTGGTGAATCTGAGAAGAGTGACTAGCAAGAGACTGAGAGTTCTGATCAACTGGACATATGTAAAGAATAGGGTTGTAATAATGAGGACAGGATTGAGCCTTCAGGTATGTCTCTGTAGGTCTGCTGGCATTTGGCAAATCAGCTAACTGAAGACAGCAGCCAGCTCAGGCCATCCCTCATCTCTGGCCTGCAGCATCCCACCCTGTGCCTGCACCTTCTCAAGGTAATTCTCATAACTCCTGCCATCACAGCTTTATTTTTAACTCCCAGGGCAGACATAGAAACAGACAGAGAGACAGACCAAGAGAGGGAGACTAAGAGAGAGACTGAGAGAGACCAATTGAGAGACCCCTGTTGGAAGACCCCTCTCTGCTTTTAAATCTGTTCAACTGAGAACATCCCACTGGTAGTAAGTCCTCAGCAGAACCAAGAAGGGTCCCTGTCTCACTATCTCACAGCAAGAGGCAAAAGGGGGTTCTCTCACACTCCCAAGTGCAGGTACCAGATCTTTTGAGGGGCTGGCCGGCGTTGCAGCTGAGCCTTCACTCTTGGAGCCTGGGGCCTGCTCTGCCTCACAAGACTCCTTCCCGCTCCCTCAGGTTCTGTACTCTTGCTGCCTTGTCAGTGACCGCCTGTGCCGTCTTCTGGGGCAGGAGCCCCTGGCCTTGGAGTCCCTGTTCATGTTGGTTCAGGGCAAGGTAAGCCAGCAGCACAGGTGGGCTTCGCCTGGTGGCCTCGCTGTCTCAGCCAGAGGCTGTTCTGATATCTTAGGTTTCCCTTGTAGGTAAAAGTAGTAGATTGGGAAGAGTCTACTGAAGTGGCACTCTACTTCCTCTCCCTTCTTGTCTTTCGGCTCCAAAATCTGCCTTGTGGGTGAGTCATAAGGTAGGGTCTCTCTACAGAAGTCTTCTACTCACATAGCTAACCCTCACAGAGCATATGGGGAATGGTACCCTATAGCTTATCCTTAGGAGGAATTGGGACAGAGAGTGTGAAGCTTTCTCTACAAAGAACAGACCTAGACTCCCATCAACTTCATGCCTTGGAGGTAGACACGCAGCCTAGGTGAAGAATGCCATGCAAGGGAGAGGGAAGGCCGCTCACCAACCCCCTTTACTACTGCTGCATCCCTTGATATATCTCTTTATTCCAGAATGGAGAAGCTAGGCAATGACGTTGCTACTCTCTTTACCCATTCACATGTCGTCTCTCTTGTGGTAAGTTTTTAGCCTTTACCCTCTACCCCTTTTCACCCTAGCAACAAACTCTTGTGAAGTGGGGGAGTCACTATCCTATTTGTATCTGTTTCTGGAGGCATTCTTTTGGACCAGGACAGAGACATAAATCCTCTTTGCTTGTCCTGAATGCCATTTAGATTTGAACATTCTTTTTCTTCTACCTCTCCCACAGAGTGCAGCAGCCTGTCTACTGGGACAGCTTGGTCAGCAAGGGGTGACCTTTGACCTCCAGCCCATGGAATGGATGGCTGCAGCCACACATGCCCTGTCTGCCCCTGCAGAGGTGAGGCCTCCACAAGGAGGGCACAGACAATGTTTTCTCTGAGTCAGACACTAGGACTGCATTCAAGGGGAAAAGACTGAAATGCCAGCAAGCCTAGAGTAAGCTGAGGAATGGAAAAAGAATCAAGGAGCGCTTCTTTTTCTAGATTTCTGTCCCCAGATAATAGGCCCCTCTGAGCCCAGATTGATCCAGACTTTAGGTTTCTTTTTAATATACAGGGCTTCTAGAGAGTGACGGAAGGGAGGGAAGAGGAAGTGACCAACCTGAGTTTTCTGAGTAATGAGATAACCCGGCCTGCTTCATTCCCCTCCTCCAGAAGCTCATGCTCTTGGCAAAGTCCTTCCTGATGCATAATTTCTTCACCTCTGACTGTGGTTTCCACTCTGCTTTTTCCCACTTGTTCTTCTTAACAGATGGAAAAGGTGGCTGACATCCTGTGAATTCTTTAGGCACACAGTCCATCATGTAGACTTCTTTCTGCTTTCTCCTTTCCCAGGACTTTTCCTTTCATTTTTAGAACCTTTAGAACTCGTCTTTCGTTCATTTCTTAAAAGGAAGAATAGATTTCGTAATCAAATTATTGTCATCTTTTTTTTTTTTTTTTTGAGACAGAGTCTCATTCTGTCACCCAGTGTGTAGTGGTGTGATCTTGGCTCACTTCAACCTCCATCTCCCAGGCTCTAGTGGTTCTCCTGTCTCAGCCTCCTGAGTAGTTGGGATTACAGACACACGCCACCATGCCTGGCTAATTTTTTTTCAATTTTTAATAGAGATGGGGTTTCACCATATTGACCAGGTTGGTCTCGAACACCTGACCTCAAGTGATCTGCCTACCAAAGTGTTGGGATTACAGGCGTGAGCCACTGCACCCAGCCTGTCATCCTTTATATATGTAGAATTTTTTTTTTTTGTCCTAAGACGAGTCTTGCTCTGTCGCCAGACTGGAGTGCAGTGGTGCGATCTCGGCTTACTGCAACCTCCACTTCCGGGGTTCAAGTGATTCTCCTGTCTCAGCCTGCTGAGTAGCTGAGACTACAGGTGTGTGCCTCCATACCTAGCTAATTTTTGTATTTTCAGTAGATACAGAGTTTCACCATGTTGGCCAGGATGGTCTCAATCTCTTGACTTCGTGATCCACCCACCTCGGCCTCCCAAAGTGCTGGGATTACAGGCATGAGCCACCGTGCCTGGCCGAATTCTTTATAATTTATAAAGCATTTTCACATGTTTTCCCACAACATACTTGAAAGATAGACACACCAATATAAAAATACTCATCTGCTTTTTCTAGACAAAGTTACCCTTCAGAGAGGTCATATCACTAGTGATAGCACTAACACTCATCCAGGAATCTAAGTCAGAACTTTGGGAGTCATCAGTGACTGCTCCCTCTTCTCCATCATTCCCCCATCCAAATGGTTCCCCTAGGTCACATATATTCTACCTTCCGGTTGGCTCTCAAATGTGTTTCCTCCATGGCACCACTACTGACCTGCCTTGGTTTTAGCGGCCACCCCATTCCTCTTAGACATCCGCATTCTTCCTGTTTCTCTCTGACAGGTTCGGCTGACTCCACCAGGTAGTTGTGGATTCTATGACGGCCTCCTCATCCTTCTGCTGCAGCTCCTCACTGAGGTACAGATGGATCTTGGGATGGATGAGAAGTAAAGAGAGAGGAACTGGGCATTTTGGGGAGTCTCTGGACAAGAGGAATGAAGAAGCAACCCGCAGCCTCTCCTCTCAAACACTGCCTGTGATTGCCTTGGAACTTCCCTGCCTGCCCTCAGTACTGACCATTTGAAGGAAACCATTCAGCTGCATCCCCTGGGATCCAGTGGGGGGTAAAATGAATTCCCTGGGTTTCAGCAGACATACACATGAGCTGCCAGGTCAGAGGGTTAAGGTTTAATAAGAAAGTGAAATAAGACAACAGAGAAATACTAGGTGGGAAAGTAGAAGGAATTATTTCTGGGTCTTCCTTTCCTTGTAAGTTGGGGACAGGAATGAATAAAAGCATTTCGACTCCTGACTTCTGTCTTTCCCCCCCACCCTCTTTCACTTTTTCCTCTAGCAGGGGAAGGCTAGCCTAATCAGGGATGTGGCCAGTTCAGAAATGTGGACCATTTTATGGCGTCGCTTCTCCATGGCCCTGAGGCTACCTGAGGAGGCATCTGCACAGGAAGGGGAGCTTTCGCTATCCAGTCCACCAAGCCCAGAGCCAGACTGGACACTGATTTCTCCCCAGGGTATCTTTCTATCAGTATCCTTTGTGGGAGTGCATTGATGTCTCTTCAAGAGGAGGCAGCCCAGAAGTGGATTAACCCACAGAGGTTTCTTTTTTTTGCTTCTACCTGAGGACAGGAAGCAGTATATGCACAGAGCTGCTCTGAGCTGGGGAAGGGACTGAATAGGTGTAGCCCTGGGAGCTGGAGGGAAGCAGGGGTATCTGGGCCTCTTGCCTGTTCCATTGGGTCTCCATTTTTGGTGTTTCCAGGCATGGCAGCCCTGCTGAGCCTGGCCATGGTCACCTTTACCCAGGAGCCCCAGTTATGCCTGAGCTACCTGTCCCAGCATGGAAGTATCCTTATGTCCATCCTGAAGCATCTGCTTCACCCCAGCTTCCTGAATCAACTGCGCCAGGCGTGAGTTTGAGCTTGAAGAAGAGCCAGAGAGTTAGCAATGGGGAGGGAGAGAGAAGAAGGCAGGAAAGAAGTTACTGACAGATTGAGCAATGAAGCAAGAAAGATGAGATCAGGTTTAGACTGGAAACCAAAGTACTGGCTAAGATTGTAGAAGGAGTGCTGGGAAAGGGAATTTTGAGGAGGGAGAGAAGAATGATAAAGGTTAAGTAAACAAGACCAAGTCTCCTACATCCCTCCCCTTAGGCCTCATGGATCTGAATTTCTCCCTGTCGTGGTACTCGCTGTCTGCCAGCTCCTTTGCTTCCCCTTTGCACTGGATGTGGATGCTGACCTCCTTATGGGTGTCTTGGCTGACCTCAGGGACTCAGAAGTTCCAGCCCATCTGCTGCAGGTACTTGGGCAGCTAGTATGAAGGTGGAAGAGGAAGATAGCCAACCTTGTGTCCTCTAATTTACTTCCCAGCAGCTCTAGGGCTCTTCCAGGCCACTGTAAGAGTGGAGCACCTGGCTTGACTCAAAATCTGGCGTGCAGACAATACTCAGGGCTGTGCAGAGGCATGTGGTGGGAGCTGGGTTGGTGCCTCCTCCTCCCCATCAGTCCGTCACCTGGTTCTGTTGGTACTCAGAGGGGAGAACATCTGGTCTAGGCACTGGAGACTCAGGTCCTTGGCCAGGAATCACGTCTCTGGCAATTATTGGCATTGCACAGTGGGTCTTTGTTCTTTTGTTGTTTCTTTTTGGTTTTTGTTTTTTCACAGTGGGTCTTTGAAGGCAGATAACGAGCCCGTGCAAAGTAAGGAATGATCTTGGAAAGAACCTGCTCTCTCAGTCTCCATGTCATGTCTCATGTGGAGTGCCGTGGGGCAGGACTTCCAGCTGTCTGTGGCATTTCTCACCATAGCTTGACTTTTCTCTCCCAGGTTTTGGGCTTCTACCTAGCTGCATGTATTCTCCCTCTCCCTGAATTCCTTTCACCCACCCTTTCCATTCTCCCAGGTCTGCTGCTACCATCTTCCGTTGACGCAAGTGGAGCTGCCCATCAGCCTCCTCACACGCCTGGCCCTCACGGACCCCACCTCTCTCAATCAGTTTGTGAACACAGTGGCTGCCTCCTCTAGAACCATTGTCTCGTTTCTCTCAGTTGCCCTCCTGAGTGACCAGCCACTGCTGATCTCTGACCTTCTCTCCCTGCTGGCCCACACCGTCCGGGTCCTGTCTCCCAGCCACTTGTCCTTTATCCAAGAGCTCCTGGCTGGCTCTGATGAATCCTATCGGCCCCTGCGCAGCCTCCTGGGCCACTCAGAGAATTCTGTGCGGGCACACACTTACAGGCTCCTGGGCCACTTGCTCCAAGACAGCATGGCCCTGCGTGGGGCACTGCAGAGCCAGACTGGACTGCTCAGCCTTCTGCTGCTGGGACTTGGAGACAAGGATCCTGTTGTGCGGTGCAGTGCCAGCTTTGCTGTAGGCAATGCAGCCTACCAGGCTGGTCCTCTGGGACCTTCCCTGGCAGCTGCAGTGCCCAGTATGACCCAGCTGCTTGGAGATCCTCAAGCTGGTATCCGGCGCAATGTTGCATCAGCTCTCGGCAACTTGGGACCTGAAGGGTTGGGAGAGGAGCTGTTACAGTGCCAAGTACCCCAGCGGCTCCTAGAGATGGCATGTGGAGACCCCCAGCCAAATGTGAAGGAAGCCGCCCTCATTGCCCTCCGGAGCCTCCAACAGGAGCCTGGCATCCATCAGGTATACCCTACAGGGCTTATGAACCATGATGATCAGGGCCCCTAGAGTTCACAACATTTCTCTGAGATCATCTGTAAGGAATTGGAATCGGGACATCCAGAAACTTATGCCGTGTTTCTCCCAGGGATAGTGTCTTGGAGTGAGTTTTCCAGTTACCATTTCTGCCCTGGAGAAGGGAAGAGAGCTGGAAGAGGGCTCCATTGAGCTGGGAAATGTCTGAGATCTCAAGGACCACAGTTGATCTCTTCTAGTGGCTGTGCAGGAGGGAGTTGGGGGAAGACTAAGAGATGCTGAGATAGAGGAGTTTTACTCGGTGTGCCATGAAGATGCTATGTTGTTTTTTAGCACTCATGAGAAAAGCATGATGCTAAGCATTTTACCTTTATTATCTGGTTTAAACTATTATTAACCTCATTTAGCAGATGAGGAAACAGGCACAAATAATTTAATAACTTGTCCAAGTTACAAGGACAGTGTGTAGGCCTGGGCTTTTGAACTCAGAAGTCTGAGTCCAGAGCCCATACTCTTAACCACTACTTTATCTTGTCTCTTCTGCACAATTTTCTTTTTCTTTTTTATTTTTTGAGACAATCTCACTCTGTCACATAGGCTGGAGTGCAGTGGCACGATCTCAGCTCACTGAAACCTCTGCCTCCCAGGTTCAGCTGCTCCCAGGTTCTCGAACTCCTGACCTCAAATGATCCACCCACCTTGGCCTCCCAAAATGTTGGGATTACAGGCGTGAGTCACCCTGCCTGGCTGCAATTTTCAGTATTTAAAGAGCCCAATAGGCCAGGCTCTGTGGCTCACACCTGTAATCCCAGCATTCTGGGAGACTGAAGTGGGCGGATCACTTGAGGTCAGGACTTCGAGACCATCCTGGCCAACTAGTGAAACCCTGTCTCTACTAAAAATATAAAAATTAGCTGAGTGTGGTGGCAGGTGCCTGTAATCTTACCTACTTGGGAGGCTGAAGCAGGAGAATTGCTTGAACCTGGGAAGAGGAGGTTGCAGTGAGCGGAGATCATGCCTTTGTACTCCAGCTTGGGTGACAAAGGGAGAATCTGTCACAAAAAAAAAAAAAAAAAAAAGGGCCAGGCGCCAGTGGTTCATGCCTGTAATCTTAGCACTTTTGGAGCCCAAGGCGGGTGGATCACAAGGTCAGGAGATTGAGACCACCCTGGCCAACATGGTGAAACCCCATCTCTACTAAAAATACAAAAATTAACTGAGTGTGGTGGTGCATGCCCATAATCCCAGCTACTAGGGAGGCTGAGACAGGAGAATTGTTTGAACCAGGTAGTTGGAGGTTGCAGTGAGCCAAGATCACGCCACGGCACTCCAGCCTGGCAACAGAGCAAAACTCCATCTCCAAAAAAAAATAAAAAAGAGGCAACTGGAAATCACACATCTACATATGGTAATACAAATTACGACATCTCGAAGTGATAACATTGGGAAGTTCACGCAGAACAGAAATTTGACAGCATGGTAAAGATCTTATAAGGATCTTTTGCAATCCATGGGGAAAACAATTGTTAGGATTCTTGGTGGTAATGACGTTAGAACCCACTGGTCTACATCGAAGGCTAAGAATTAGACCTTTTGGCTTACTGTGAGATATAGCTGCATTCATTAAGTCTTCCTGGGGACAAGTAAATGTGTCCCTTAGTGCCTTGGTTTCATGGTCTATAACCAAAGAGAATGGAAGTCAACTTCTGGTCCTGATGATTCCTGTCTCCAAGGTTTCTCTTCTCCCATTCAGTCTATTCCAAGTCCCCAAGAGCCCATTTCCTTTTTCTTCCTCTTCTCGAGTAAGAATTGCTGGGTAAGTGAAAGTCCTCTGCATCCATCCCAGACACCACCATTTCTAAGCCTCATGTCCTGTTCTATCATCTGTTCTCTATCCTACAGGTACTGGTGTCCCTGGGTGCCAGTGAGAAACTAGCCTTGCTCTCTCTGGGGAATCAGTCACTGCCACACAGCAGTCCTAGGCCTGCCTCTGCCAAACACTGCAGGAAACTCATTGACCTCCTGAGGCCAGCCTATAGCATGTGATTTCAGATTCCTGGGGTCCAGCCTCCAACTTTGGTTGCCCTGCTGTTGCCAACTCTTCCTTATTCTACTACACAAGCTACCAACTCAACCGAGAACTAAAGAGACTAGAAAAGAGATAAGCTGCCAACTCTACTGAGAACAAGAAACTAGAAGAGATTTATGTTTAAAGCTTCTTCCTTCTCCCAGATTCAGCATGATTTCAACCAGTAAATTTTATTGCTGTTGGTGCCAGAGAAGATTCCTTTCCTCTCTACATCTAGGGGCCTTTTCTCCAATAATGTGCCTTTAACTTTAGGGACCTGCCTCGTGGAAAAACCTCTACCTGAAAGATCTTTTCCTTTCTAGAGCTCCTTAAATCCTCCCAGCAGATTTTTGCCTTAGATGTGTTGGCCCCAGGACAACGATGAAGACAGAGCCTGTCTCAGCTTTAGGCTGTGGGGATCAATGCCATCAGTCTGTTATTGAGGGATTCCTCAGTGCTTAACCAACATTCCTATTGGGGGATGTGGGGGTGGAGAGTGTATCTTTTTTGGTTGGGGTGTGTGTGTGTGTGGGTGTGTGTGTGTGTGTGTGTGTGTTTGGTAGTTCTGTTTGTAAATTCTTTTAATAAAAAATTGTGCCTCACCATACTTGAAGCTCCCAGGACAAGTGTTGGGAGGCTCAACCTGTCTTTTAGCTTCTATGTGGTATTGGAAGTGCTGGTGTCCTGTTCACACAAGATCCTGATCTGGCAGCTTATTTATATCTTTTCTTGCCTTCCAATTTCCTCCTTCCTAGATGAACTACATATGGTTACCTACTTTCTTTTTTTTTGTTTTTTTGAGACGGAGTCTTGCTCTGTCACCAAGCACCAGGCTGGAGTGCAGTGGCACAATCTCAGCTCACTGCAACCTCTGCCTCCCAGGTTCAAGCAATTCTCCTGCCTCAGTCTCCCGAGTAGCTGGGACTACAGGCGCACACCACCACGCCCAGCTAATTTTTGTATTTTAGTAGAGATGGCGTTTCGCCATTTTGGCCAGGATGGTCTCAATTTCTTGACCTCGTGATCCGCCCGCCTCGGCCTCTCAAAGTGCTTACAGGTGTGCGCTACCATGCCCGGCCAGTTACCTACTTTCAAGGCAAGGCTGGTGGAGCTGAAATAGAAAAGGGCAGGATTAAACAGAGCAGTAAATTGGGTTACTCAGACTTAGTGACTAGTTTTAATATTTAGTGGAGTTCTAATGTGTAGGGAATCCAAGCTGCTTTAGAAGGGTAGCTATTACAGAGATTGTACAATTTACCAGAAAGGGCTTTTAGTCAGACCTGTTAGTTAGAATTGTAATCTAATTGGAAGTATTGGAAAATCTTAACTCATTGGATGGCTTAGAACAAGCTTCCAGGGCCTTTATTTCTCCATCCATAAGTTTTAAGGAGACTCCTTTTTGTCCTTCCTTAAATTTCAGTTGTTTTAGAAATGAAGGACAAGTAAAGTGCCCTTACTTTTTTTTTTTTTTTTGAGATGGAGTCTCACTGCAACCTCTGCCCCCCAGGTTCAAGTGATTCTCTTGCCTCAGCCTCCTGAGTAGCTGGGATTACAGATGCGTGCCACCATGCCCAGCTAAATTTTGTATTTTTAGTAGAGACAGAGTTTCACCATGTTGGTCAGGCTGGCCTCAAACCTCTGACCTCATGATCTGCTGGCCTCGGCCTCACAAAGTGCTGGAATTACAGGTGTGAGCCACTGTGCCTGGCCTAGTGCCCTTACTTTGGTAAGAAATTTAGTTTAATCCTCATCTTTATTGTCCACTGTGTTGACACTTTAGCAAAAGTAATATTTTTCTAGGGAACACCATAATTTCTTCATATCCAAAATATTTCAATTCTGTTCAATGTGTGTATATATGTATAATAAATATATAACGTATAACACATATATATATTTTTTATTGAGACAAAGTCTCATGCTGTTGCTTGGGCTGGAGTGCAATGACGTGATCTCGGTTCACTGCAACCTCCACCTCCTGGGTTCAAGTGATTTTCCTGCCTCAGCCTCCCGAGTAGCTGTGATTACAGGTACCTGCCACCATGCTCAGCTAATTTTTTGTATTTTTAGTAGAGATGGGGTTTCACCATGTTGGCCAGGCTGGTCTCAAACTCCTGACCTTGTGATTTGCCTGTCTTGGCCTCCCAAAGTGCTGGGATTACGGATGTGAGCCACCGCACCTGGCCTTCAATGTATATTTTTTTCATCCTTTCTGTGTGCCAGATACTATTCTAGGCATAGGAAATAAAACAGTGCCTATCATAGAGTTTCCATTCTGGTTGGGGAGATAGTGAAATTATTAAAAGAAGTAAATTGTATATAGTATGTAGGAAGGTGATAAGAGCTCCGGAGAAAAATTAAGCAGGGAAAGGGGATGAAGAATGCTGAGTTGGATGGTCAGGGCAGGCCTCACTAAAAGGTGACACTTGAGAAAAGACTTGAAGGAGGTGAGGGAGTGAGTCATGCAGCTGCTCGAGGGAAAAGCCTAGGCCCTGAGATGAAAGCATGTTTGAGGAGCTATGAAGAACCAGTTTGGATGAAGTGAGTAAAGAAGGCAGATAATAGTAGAAAATGAGACAGGAAGGTAATGTTAGGGGCCAGATGTTGCAGGCTTTGTAGACCTTGGTGAAGACTTGGGCTCTTACTTTGAATGGAGGAGGCATCGGTCAGAGGCTTTTGAACAAAGAATGATGTGATCTACCTTGCATCCTAAAATGATCACTCTTCATTCTGGTCTTGTGAATGGCTATGGAGATAGGGGAGGATGGGAAGCAGGCTCAGCGGTTAGGAGGTTATTGTAATAATAATCCAGGCAAGAGACAGTGGCGTCCTGGATGGCGACTGGGGTGATACCAATGGAGTGGGAAAGTCGTCAGATTTTGAATATATTTTGAACATGGAACAAACAGGTTGACTGGTTGGATGTGGGGGTATAATCAAAAGAAAGCAGTCAAGGATGACTCCAAGATTTTTGGCCTGAGCAATTGGAAGAATGGAATTGCCATTAACTGAAATGGAGTAATAGGTTGGAACAAGTTCAATTTTGAACATGTTGTCTTTTAGTTGGAAATTTTTGAACACACACAAAGGTAGAGAGGTTGGTTGAGTGTACTCCGTCACTACTTGAGCAGCTAACATGTCTACTCTTTTTTTTTTTTTTTTTTTGAGACAGATTCTCGCTCTGTTGCCTGGGCTGGAGTGCAATGGCACCATCTTGGCTCATTGAAATGTCCACCTCCCAGGTTCAAGTGATTCTCCTGCCTTAGCCTCCAGAGTAGCTGGGACTACAGGCATGTGCCACCACACTCGGGTAATATTGTATTTTTAGTAGAGATGGGGTTTCACCATGTTGACCAGGCTGGTCTTGAACTTCTGACCTCAAGTGATCCGCCTGCCTCGGCCTCCCAAAGTGCTAGGATTACAGGTGTGAGCCACTGTGTTCGGCCCAAGATTCTTTTTGTTAAAGACAGGGTTTCACCCTATTGGTCAGGCTGGTCTCGAACTCCTGACCTCAGGTGATCCACTCGCCTCAGCCTCCGAAAATGCTGGGATTACAGGCATGAGCCACCATGCCTGGTCCAAGATTCTTTATATAAAACACTTCCCTCTACTTTTGGGAGGTACAATTTGATTGAATAAACCAGATCATTTGAGCAGTAGGCTTCCTCACATTAGATTTGGATGATTATATATTGGGATGTCATTTATTCCATTACAGTATTCTTCATATTTCCTTTAAATTGGTCATTGGCTCTGGATAGATGAAGACATTAGAAGCACTTTTCTTCTTGTAAATTCTGTTGCTCAAATCTCCTGTGTCTATTCCCAGGCAATCGGTCATCCACACTCTTGCCTTCTGGATAAATACCTGTCTAGGCAAATACAGTATTTTAAAATCTAGATTGTTTTCCTAAAAGATAAACTAAGGGGAGTTACCTTATGTAAGAATTATTTATTTTTTCAAATAAACAATACTAGTTTGAAATATAATTTTTTTAAAATTATTTAAAAAATCAAAACCGGCCGGGCGCGGTGGCTCAAGCCTGTAATCCCAGCACTTTGGGAGGCCGAGGCGGGTGGATCACGAGGTCAAGAGATCGAGACCATCCTGGTCAACATGGTGAAACCCCGTCTCTACTAAAAATACAAAAAATTAGCTGGGCATGGTGGTGCATGCCTGTAATCCCAGCTACTCAGGAGGCTGAGGCAGGAGAATTGCCTGAACCCAGGAGGCGGAGGTTGCGGTGAGCCGAGATCGCGCCATTGCACTCCAGCCTGGGTAACAAGAGTGAAACTCCGTCTCAAAAAAAAAAAAATCAAAACCACAATCAGATGAAATATCATTCTTATCTGGTATTTAAACAATTTGTTATAAAAAAATTAAACTTTTTTGCCTAGCACATAAAGCAATAGTTGGTCATTTTATGTGGAAACAAGAAAACACATCCGTGTCTTTGAAAGCATTCAATCTAAAGGATTAGATCAAGGATTATCAACAATTTTACATCTAGCAATTACTGTACAAGGGGCTGACAGTACTAAGAGAATTTGGAGTAAACGTTTTGTGTAATGCCTGGAATTCAGGCAATGTCTAGAAGGTTTGAGGATTTGTGCCTGTGTTTGATTTTCTATGTATGAGCACGTATGTGTTTTAACTTTTTTGGTGGTAGTGGGGAACTTAAAGTTTTCAACCGTATAAAAGTAGAGAGAATGGCATAATAAACCCCCAGACCCTGATCCTACAGATTCAGCTGTCATCAGCATTTTGCCCTACTATCATCAACATTTTGGCTGTATGTACTGTATTCCTTTTAAAAATTTATTGGCCGGACGTGGTGGACCTCCCATCTCATTATAGCCAGGAACTCGGTTTTTAAGGTTGCTCTGGTGTCCCCTTAGCCAAGAGGGGGGCCATTCAGTTGGTTGGGGCGGGGCTTAGAATTTTTATTTCTCAGTCTCAAAAATGTCATTTTACAGTTTGTTTGAATCAGGACCCAAACAAGGGGCATTCATTGCATTTGAATATATATATATATATATATATATTTTTTTTTTTTTTTTCAAGATGGAGTCTTGCTCTGTCATCCAGACTGGAATGCAGTGGCACGATCTTGGCTCACTGTAACTTCTGCCTCCTAGGTTCAAGTGATACTTTTGCCTCAGCCTCCCTTGTAGCTGAGGACTACAGGCATGCATCATCACGGCTGGCTAATATTTGTAATTTTTGGTGGAGATGTGGTTTCACCATGTTGCCCAGGCTGGTCTCGAACTCCTGACCTCAAGTGATCCTTATTGCATTGGGATTACAGGTGTTAGCCACTGTGCCTGGCCAACATTTGAATATATTATTTCTTCTTCTTTTTTTCTTTGAAATGGAGTCTTGCTCTGTCACCAGGCCGAAGTGCAGTGGCGTGATCTTGGCTCACTGCAGTCTCCACCTCCTGGGTTCAAGCAATTCCCCTGCCTCAGCCTCCTGAGTAGCTGGGACTTCAGGTGGGCACCACCATGCATGGCTAAGTTTTTGTATTTTAGTAGAGACAGAGTTTCACCATGTTGGCCATGATGGTCTTGATCTGCTGACCTCGTGTTCCGCCTGCCTTGGCCTCCCAAAGTGCTGGGATTACAGGCGTGAGCCACCGCACCCAGCCTTGAATATATTTCTCAAATCTCTTATAATCTAAAACATCTCCCCTCGTTTTTATACCCTGAAACTGTTGAAGGAAGAAGTCATTTATTCTGTACATTGGCCCACATGCTGGATTTTTCTGATTGCTTTCTTGTAGTGTTATTCAGTTGTTTCTCTTTATTTCCTGTAAACTGGAAGTTACAGCCAAAACTTGATTAGATTCACTCAACTTTTATTTATTTATTTTTTACAAAAATATACTATACTTCATAAATATTGCTGTACAATTGCATCACATCAGGAAACATGCACAGCTGTCCCATGTTTCTTGATCTAAGATTGATTAGTACATATAGGTAATCTTCAGTGTACATCCTTCAGTGCAAAATTCTTCCATAAACATCTAATAGTTTTAGCATCCATCTGCGACTGTTGCCTAAATAAGTTATTTATTGAAATCCTTGCTCTGGTCCAGATTGTTTTCATGAGATTAGTTTTAATCTTTGTCTCCTTTATTTCTATTTCTGTAGCCGGTTGCCTAGGAAAGATCCATTCATCTTTCAGCTTTTTTATTTTTTTTAATTTTACTTTTTTTTTTTTTTTTTTTTNTTTTTTTGAGATGGAGTCTTGCTCTGTCACCAGGCTGGAGTGCAGTGGCGCAATCTCGCCTCACTGCAACCTCTGTTTCCTGGGTTCAAGTGATTCTTCTGCCTCAGCCTCCCGAGTAGCTGGGACCACAGGCACGTGCCACCACACCCGGCTAATTTTTTTGTATTTTTAGTAGAGACGGGGTTCCACCATGGCCAGGATGGTCGCGATTTCTTGACCTCGTGATCCGCCCACCTCGGCCTCCCAAAGTGCTGGGATTACAGGCGTGAGCCACCGCGCCCGGCTTTTTTCTTTTTTAATGAAGATAGAGCCTTGCTCTGTCACCAGGCTGGAGTGCAGTGGCGCGATCTTGGCTCACTACTACCTCCACTTCCAGGGCTCAAGCACCTCCTGCCTCAGCCTCCTGAGTATCTCGGACTACAGGTGCGCACCAGCAAGCCCAGCTCATTTTTGTATTTTTAGTAGAGACGGGGGTCTCGCAATGTCGGCCAGGATGGTCTCGATCTGTTGACTTTGTGATTCGCCCTCCTGGGCCTCCCAAAGTGTTGGGATTACAGGCGTGCGCCACTGCGGCCGGCCAGCTTTCTTAGATCTCCAAATCTGTCAGGTCTACGGACATCCGAGACAGGCAGGATCTGTCTTGCCTGGGGAGCTAACGAGGTAAGGAATTGAGTATTTCCTAACTTTCACACTTGAAGGTCATAAAGCAGGTAGATGGTTTTAATTTTGCCCTGCTGGGTGGGTTGGGGTTAGGGAAGGGTTGGTTAGTGAGAGGCAGAGTGAAATTGGGCAATCCTCCCTTTCCTGGGGTCAAACTCAAAGGCTTTTTAGTAGAAATTCTTCAACAGAGCCTGGGCTCCTTGATTTTGAACTGAGGTAAGACCAAAGAAGCAGTCCAGGCCAGGTGTGGGGGCTCCCGTCGTAATCCCAGCGACTAGGAGGCTCACACAGGAGGATTACTTGAGGCCAAGACTTTACGACCAGTCTGGGCAACATAGTGAGACCCTGTCCTAACAAAAAATTAAAAAAATATAGTCAGGCATGGTGGCGTGCCTGTAGTCTCAGCCACTCGGAAGGCTGGGGACGGGCGGATCGCTTGAGCCAGGAGTTCGAGTTCGCAGTGAGCTATGATCACGCCGCTGCACTCCAGCCTGGGCGACAGAGCAAGATTCTGTCTCCAAAAAATAAAAGAGTCCATAGGGATTAGGTGACATCAGAGTAGAAAGGGAGAGTCCTGGATTCTCAGAATGGAGCCTTTCAGAGGTTTAACCCCGGGACTACATCTCCCAGAATTCCGCTCGCTGGATCCCACCATACTGAAAAGACTGCGCGTGCGCGACGCCAGTGACGCCCCGCCCCCACGGGCCCCACAACCCCCGAGACTCCCCGCTCTTGGCTCTCGCCGGCTTTTTCTAGACCCTCTGTCTGTCCGCTGGGGGCGCGCGCAGTGTATGGCAGGCGGCACTGGCGCTGGCGGCCGGGTGCGCGGGTCACGCGTGGTAGTGCGTGGTTGCTAGGGGCGCCTGAGGCCGCCTGCTAGCCCAGCAGGCCGAGGGAGGAAGTAGCGTGGAGCTGGTGTCGAGCTTGGGCGAAGCTGGATGCCCTAGGTGAGTGCGGCTGCGAAGCCAGGGGAGCCGACCGCAGACCTTCCGCCGGTCCCACGCTCCCGACCTCCCTGTACCCGACTCCCTTCGCGCGGGTCGCCAGCCCTCCGGCCACTCTCGCCCCAGCCCCGCTTCCTTCCGCCACCTCTCTTCTCCCGGCTGGCCGGAGAGCGGCGGCCTCCTACCCGGCCGGGACTTCTCGCCTCCTCGGAGTCCTTCTCCCCTATGCCACGCCCTGCGAACTCAGTCGGCCTCGCCTCCGTGTGCCCGAACCCTACTCCATCCCCTCATCCTGGCCTTCTTGCCTCCTCTGTCCCGCTGCGCTGAGGTTTAGATTCTCTCTGGGTGTGAGTCCAAGCTCCTCGCAGGCTCCAGGGCCGAATTTAACGTGAATCTACTTTTTTACTTACCCATCCTCAGTATCTGTAGAGGAATACATTCCTAAACTCTACAGATTCAAACAGGATCTGAGATCCTGTGGACTTTAATTGTTCGTTCATCCATTCCTTTATTTAATCAGTCACTAAACAATTTTTAGTTAACATTGACAAATATTTAATGAGCCTTGCTACAATGGAAGGGATTGAGGGGATAGAGTGCCTAATAGCACAAGCGTGTTTTCATGGAATTTATAGTCTAGGAGATTTTAATCAAGTACATGAGCATTTGCCATACTGTGGTGTGGTAGAACAGGAGATACTTAATCTGTACTTTAACGACGTTATTCCCATTTCTCCTGGTCTTCACATTCTCATTCTGGATCTAGGAAATGTTTTAATCCTTCATTGATGGAATTGTCTTTGCTTTCTCAGATACTCCAAATCACCTATTCCTTAACTTCAGCACCTGTTGACTTAGCCAATCAAGCATTTGGGGGACCCTTTGGGACAGTGTTCCATCCCATCCATCTGTTTCTTGCACTGAATACTGAGATACTGTTTGCATTAAAACCGCCCACTTTGTGCTCAGAAAGCAGCTACTTACTAATTGGAGTGAATCAATCCTTGAAAAATTATCAAGTGTTTTCTGGGAATGAAGAGGTGGGAGGACGTTCTAGACACAGTGGCTTTAGAAAAAATACAGCAAGTCCTGAAAAGAGAACTGGAAATAGTTTGACAGACCTGAGCTAGTTTTGGAGGGAGCTATCCAGTGACAAATAGAAAGAGGGAAGTTAATAGGGGTTAGATGACAAAGGGCCTCGGATGTTTTGCTGAGTTAGAACTATATCCCAGGAGTGGTTTCCAAGCTAGAGTAATCAGGGTTTTAGACTTCCAAGGGATACACTTGCAAGTCTAGCTTTAGATAAATACATTTCCAGATCCTCAGCTTCCCAATGAACTTTTTTTCTAAAACTGCCCTTACAAAAAAAGCGGAAGTGGCAAATCCCTCACACTTTCCAATATGGTGTATTGACCTGAGTGTAAAAATGTCCTAGATACAAACCGAGATATTTGTTTTCAGGAACACCTCCTTTAGTGATTTAAGTTACCTTCCAACCCAGAAGGCTGCCCAATACACAATCCCATTAGTGTAAAGTGTGTTCCTTGTTAGCATGTTCTGAAAAGAATGTAACAGTTAAATGTAATGGGAATGTCTTTTGGGACAATGGGGTTTTTAAGTTATTTTGGATAAAACTTTTGTAAAATGTTTTAAAGAAATTTCTTTTAGTGTAGTGTGTGGTATTCAGTAAGATGGTTAATACCTATTTTAAGACCGGGTATGGTGGCTAACATCTTTAAATCCAGCACTTTGGGAGGCTGAGGCAGGCTGATTGATCGCTTGAGCCCAGGAATTTGAGACCAGCCTGGGCAATGTGGTGAAACCTCTTCTGTACAAAATAAATAAACACACACACACACACACACACACACACACACACTAAGGTGGCGTGCTCTTGTAGTCCCAGCTATTTGTAGGCTGAGGTGGGAGGATGCATTGAACCCAGGAGGTCATTCAGGCTGGAGTGCCATGGTATGATCATAGCTCATTGTAAACTCCAACTTCTGGGCTCAAGCGATCCTCCCACCTCACCCTCCTGAGTAGCTGGGACTATAGGCATGTGCCACCCACCTGGCTAATTTTTTAGAATTTTTAGTAGTAATGGGGTCTTGCCCAGGCTGGTCTCAAATTTCTGGGCCCAAGTGATCCTCCTGCCTCGGCTTCCCGAAGTGGAGGGTTTTTTATTTTTCTTTTTACTTTTTTTTCTTTTTTTGAGATGGAGTCTTGCTCCATCATCCAGGCTGGAGTGCAGTGGCGTGATCTTGGCTCACTGCAACCTCCGCCTCCTGGGTTCAAGCAATTCTCCTGTCTCATCCTCCTGTGTGGCTGGGTCTACAGGCACCTGCCAACACACCTGGCCTAATTTTTGTATTTTTAGTACAGACGGGGTTTTACCTAGTTGGTCAGGCTGCTGAGTATTGTCTGCAGTTGCAACACAGTGTACCTAAACATTGAAACATGGAAAAGGTTACTGAGAAAATATGGAATTACAATCTTATAGGACATTGTCTTCTATGGGGATTGTCTGTTGACTGAAACACTATGTAAGGCATGACTGTTTGGAAAATAATCTGAGTTATGCAGATCTCCATGTCACAGTTTATTATATAGTGTCAAAAACATCATATTATCACCACAGTCTCTTCAGAGAAGTAGTTAAGTATTAGGAAGCAGTTAAACTCACAGTGGCAGTTACCATTTTGCCAAAATTCTGGTTTTTTTGGGAAGCTCACATTTTATCATTGGCAACAAGTATAGTCAGTTGTTTTCCTTGAAGTGACAGGCTTACTTTGTTTCATTTTCCAGAACCTTTGCCAAATACCAAAGTCTGAATAACTATTACTTGTCATTCATTCTTTCAAGTAAACATGGTGTTCCACAGAAAAATCCTGCAATTCAAACAATCACGCAGTGCTTTATCAACACGTTCTGTATACAGCACAAATGTCTTATATGTCCTTCACATTTTATCACACAGAATATTAAAGAGCATACTCAAGGATTGAGATTTAATATAATTTACACTGGGTAATCAAGTAAACCTGGCCTGTATCATTTCACTATGTGGTGGAAAAGTGTGTAGTGGTGAAGAATGTAACTTGGTGCCATTGTCTTGATTCATGCTAAGTCACCAGCAGTTTTACTCATTAATGCTTTTGCACTATCAGTGGAAAGGTCAGTACAGTAAAAAGGCAAATAACATCTTAGGTTTTTTCTTTTTTTTTTTTTCAAAGACAGGCTGGAGTGCAGTGGCATGATTGTGGCTTACTGCAGTCTCAGCCTCCCATGCTCAGGTTGACCCTCTTACCATAAATAGGCATGCACCACCACATCTAGCTGTTTTTTTTTTTTTTTTTTTTTTTTTTTTTTTTTTTTTT